CCTCCCCATTCTGTCTCTGGTGAATCCTCCTACCCTCCCTGACCGCTGGCCTACAGCCCAGTTCCTGTATGCATAAATAAAATAAATCTTAAAAAAAAAAAAGAATGATTTGTTCCAGCACTTCCTTGCTTTCCGGTGCAACAAGATATTCCAGGATCATCCTATACTTTCTATGCCCCAGTCCTGAAATCAGCCATTTTCCAGGGACCCCTGGTTTCTTTCCAAGAAGAGTGATATTTAGAAATTAAGATCTAGGTGTTAGTTGCTAGCCCCATTTTGAAGGTAGAGACAGTGGAATTTACAGATAGACTGAATGTAGCATATAAGAGGAGAGGCTTCCCTATTGCCTTTAGCTTGCTTGCTTGCTTTTTTAATTAGAGTTGCTTTACAACACTCTGTACCTTAGGGGTGTAGGTTCACAGCTTTCCTGGTATGTATGTTGCTATTCCACACCCACTGCCAAATACCAGTAACCTGCACAGTCCATTTGGCAACCCCCACCCTTCGCTCTCCCCTCCTTTTAGGTTCTCCCCCTTCCCCAAGTCTCAGTTCTGCAGCCAGGATCTAAGGGTTTGTTTTGTTTTGTTTTTATCTGTTCCTTTGCTTTGCTTCCTCTTTTTTTTTTTTTTAAAGATTTATTTATTTATTTATTTATACAAGCACTGGGTACACCAGAGCCAGAGCGGGGAGCAGAGCAGGCAGAAGGACAGAGGTACACTGCTGAGGGGAGCAGCGGGTGGCAGGAAGAGGTCTGCGCGCCATGTGGGACCCTCCTCTGGTGGCCGGGGAGCAGCCGGGGATCGAACCGGCACTGCAGAGGCTGCGGGCAGCTCCGCAACCCAGCGCTCAACCGCTGCGCCACCAGGGAGGCCCTCTTTCTTTTTTTAAGATTTATTTTATTTATTAATGTGTACCAAAAAAATGCATACAAGAACTGGGGTGCAGCCCAGAGGTGTGGCAGCCGGTGTGTGAGAGCATTCACCAGAGACAGAGTGGGGAGCAGAACAAGCGAATTGACTGAAATACACCACTGAGGAGCAGCAGGCAAGACAGGAGAGGTCTACTGCGCCATGTGGGTTGGCTCCCTGGCGGGGGATCAAACTTGTGCTGCAGTGGCTGCCAGTAGCTTGACAGCAGAGACTTTAACCCCTATGCCACCAGGGAGGGCCTCCTTTGCTTCTTTATATTCCATATATCAATGAAGTCATCTGATAATTTGTCTTTATCCTGACTTATTTCGCTCAGCATAATCCCCTCCAGGTCCATCCATGTTGTCTCAAGTGGCAAGATTTAATCTTTTTTTTTTAAGATTTATTTATTTATGCATACAAGAGCTGGGGTACAGGCCAGAGATGCAGGGGGTGAGAGGATTCACTAGAGACAGAGTGGGGAACAGAACAGGCAGACTGACTGAAGCACACTGCTGAGGGGAGCAGCGGGAGAGACAAGAGAGGTCTGCCGCGCGATGTGGGTAGCTCCCTGGCTGGCCGGGGATCGAACTCATGCTGCAGAGGCTGTGGATTGCTTTGTAGTGTGGTGCTTAACCCCTTGCGCTACCAGGGAGGCCCTCCTTCATTTTTTTTAAACAGCTGAATAGTATTCCATCATGTACAAGCATCTCAGAAGTACACCATCTTGTTTGCACACTCCTGTGTCATGGGCGCATAGGCTGTGTCCATGACCTGGAATTGCAGTGAACGTAAGAATGCATATGTCTCTTTGAATTATTGTTCTCATAGTTTTTGGGTAGATACTTAGGAGTGGGATTATTAGATTATTCAGTAGATCTATTTTTAATATTCTGAGAAAACCCTGTACTGTTTTCCCCAAGGCCTGGACAAGTCTAGTTCTTTTTCTCTACACCCTTGCCAACCCTTGTTTCTGGTGCTCTTGATATGGGCCATTCTCACAGATGTGAAGTGTTATGTATCTCCTTTGAACGTTTTAAGATATGGTTCTCTGAAATCTTCCTCGACATTCTCTAAGGCTAGATCTAGTCACTTTTTAGCAAATATTCTATTACTTGATTATTTATAGACAAGCAGGCCTCTAAATGAAGCATAGTAATTATCAGACTGGTACTACTACCTTTACTACCTTAGAGATCTTTATCCTTGGCCTTGGGCCATTACATTACTAGCCTGATGTTGTGTTTTTTTTTTTTTTTTTTTTCTACCAACCTGGTTTTGAAGCTCACCTCTAGCATTTACTCTTTGTCTGTACCTGGGCAAGTCTCCTAACCATTTTTTAAGTGTATGGAGTAAAGGCTATGTGACTCTAAGTGCTTGACTGAGCCTGGCCATTCTACAGGTCTAGCACATTCTACAGGTCTCTGCACCTCAACTTCCTCAGCTGTAAAATGGGTTTGTGTGAGGAGGTGCTGGAATCACACAGAGAACCGGTGGTTCTGTGCCTGGTAAACAGGGAGTATAACTCCCTGGCTTCTGCCACCAGAGTTTCCTAGATATGATTGCATTTCTGTGCTGCCTTAAAGACAGCGACCACCCCTTGTTCACATTTTCATCATCTCTCCATTCACCCCAAGGTCCATAGAATGTGCTGGGAAGACCCTTGCTCTGACTCCTTCAGGAAAGCTGGGCACATTCATACACTCTCAGCCCTACCAGCAGAAGGAGCTTGGCACAGGGCCTGGGGACAAATAATTATGTCAGGAGCAGTCACTTGGCTCAAATGACAATTTTGTAAAAAATTAATTTTGCTTCTGTGATCTTTTTAAAGACTGGGAAATTGGGGATCTTGGTGCAGTCTTACAAATATTTCTGTTGATTTTCTAGAATTAAAAAAGTGTTTAAGCTCCAATTACTTTGCAACCAATGATATTCACCTTTCTGTTTGCAATTGCAAAATGTTGAAACAACCTAAGTGTCTGACAGGGAATGTTTTCTCTCCCTTCCTTCCTTCATTCCTTCCCTTGTTCCTTCCTTTCTTTCCTTTTCTCTCTTTTATTTGTTCAGTAAAAAAAGAAAAAATGCGGGCCTCCCTGGTGGCGCAGCGGTTGAGCGCTGGGTTGCGAAGCTGCCCGCAGCCTCTGCAGCGCCGGTTCGATCCCCGGCTGCTCCCCGGCCACTGGAAGAGGGTCCCACATGGCGTGCAGACCTCTCCTGCTGCCCGCTGCTCCCCTCAGCAGTGTACTTCGGTCCTGCTGCCTGTTCTGCTCCCCTCTCTGGCTCTGGTGAATCCTCTCAGCCTCCCGAGCTTCTGACTGTACCCAGTGCTTGTATAAATAAATAAATCTTTAAAAAAAAAAAAAGACTTAAAAAAAAAAGGAAAAATGCAGAACAGTATACTTAACAAAATCAAATATAATGAAAATACCTATGTGCTTGTACAAATATGACCATCGTACGGCGTCCTGCCTGGTGGTGGTGGTATGGAGACCATTTATGTCACACCCTCCAGGCTGCCGGGAGAGGCAATGCACTGTGGTTGCAAGAGGCACACTCTAGCTGGTGCCAGGAATGCCAGGTCCTGGTCGTGCCTTTTCTCAGGGTCGTCCTTAAGGTGAGCAACTCTGAAGGATGAAGTCAGGTCTCCTTTAGGGCAAGGGGCGGGCTTGCTTACCGTTGGCTTGAAGAGGGCCATTACCTCAGCACCGTGCTCTTCAGCTGCGCAGCCAATCTCCGTGGGACTTGGGGGACATGAAGGGCAAACATGAAGCTCCAGCAGCTGCTGTGGGGTGAGCCAGGGATTCCCATGCCTCCGACCCGGGAACCACTTGTCTTTGTGTCAGACTCACTCACTAGCTTGAGTGGGGTGCAACACTGACTCTGATAGTAGCCTGTTTCAGTCACCTAGCATACACAGGCATTACTTTTACAATATAGCAGTCAACTTGCTTTCTTTTTCTTTAACAAAGAAAAACAACCCTAGGGCCTCCCTGGTGGTGCAGGGATCAAAGTCTCAGCACTGTCCAGCTATTGGCAGCCACTTGGGCAGGAGTTCGATACCAGCCAGGGAGGTGACCCACATGGCTACACAGCAGACCTCTCCTGTCTTGCCTGCTGCTCCCCTCAGCAGTGTACTTCAGTAGATCTGCCTGTTCTGCTCCCCACTCTGTCTCTGGTGAATCCTCTCACACCCCCTGCACTTCAGGCCTGCACCCCAGCTCTTGAAAGGATAAATAAAAATAAAAGGATAAATAAAAATAAAATAAACCTTAAAAAAAAACAAACCCTCAAAAAAAAAGCAAACACTCAAAAAGCACACACCCCCACACCCCTCACACCCCAAAGTCAGAGCTTGCTAATTAGTGGGAAGTCAGAAAATGCAACTATGGGGAAAAAAAGAATCTCCCCTCCCCCAATCACACTTGTCCTAAAAACCACAGTTAATACCTCAGGGGATATTTCCCCCCACCACTGTCTTCCATATAAAGTCCCACGTCGTTACCAATCTTCTATAAACATAGGTTCAGAGCATATTCAATGCTTAATAATCACCTTGATTCGGTTAAATAATCCACAACTGGGTGTCATATGTGCGCCCCCCTCCAGCTCCTTGAGAAGTGGGGAGGAGCTCACCTGGCACCACCTGCTGCCTTCAGTCAGTCACTCACTCCCCAATCAGAGTCGGGGCTCCTCTGATCTGGTACGGCCTGGGGACTCTAAGGACAGGAAATGTCTGAGTCCACGTCTTACACATTGGGGGCCCACAGATGCAGATAAAACCACCCTCCCCTCCCATCTCTTCCTCCGCACCCCCTTGTTCTCAAACACATACTCCTATCACCTCAGCTCTAACCTCCATTCCTAGCTCAGCTTCAACCCTTGCCACCCCTTCCCCACTGACACGCAGGAATCCTCTTTGCAGGCTCCTCCCCTGACCCCCACCTTCCCTAGCTGAGACCCAGAGTCCCTGCACCATCTCAGACCCCACAGAGAGTGAGGAGGGTGGGGCAGGATGCTGGGGTGGGGTGGGGTGGAGCCAGCGCCACTTCCTTTCCCCTGGGGCCCAGTTTGCCCATAGTTGCCCCAGCTTCAGGAGGAGTTGGAGCAGCCTGGTCCTTATCAAGAGAGCTGGTAAGGAAGGGTGACTGGTGGGGCAGGGAACTCAGTGGACCTGGGAACATGCTACGGCTTGAGAAGACCCAAACAGGTGATGGAAAAAGGGCAATAGGGGCTGGAAAAGGCCAGCGATGGCCAAGAGGGTCTGCTGAGGCTGGAGTCTAGCTGCTGTGCCCTGGGGCAGGAGGGATGAGATAGCTGATGGGGAGCTACCAGCTTTTGTTCCCTTGCTATTCTGATAATAGCACAAGCAAGGGTGGAAAAAGCCGTTACACCGCAAGTAAGACCTGGCAGTTGGTAGGGAAGTGGGCTGGAGGGAGGGCCTGGCCAGGTCCTCCTCAGATCTTTATGTTGATCTTTATGTTCTTCAATGCCTCTCGCCTCTCCCCACCCTCTAGATCCCAACTCCTGCTCAGGCCTCTTATCATGGAAATGACCCTGCTGCTTCTTCTCTGTGTGGGCTCCTGGGCCCAAGAGCAGCCAGCAATTTCAGCCGAAGCCCTTCAGTCGAAGCCTACACCCAATGAGACCTCTGACTCTTTGGTCACAGAGAACTCTGAGACTGCACACCTCACTTCAGTGAACTCCAGCTTTACATTAACAAGGGCCCCTGAGGAGAATGGTAGTGCCAGCAACCAGACCACCCAGAACCCAACTGTTTCGACTCCCCATATAGGGATTGACGAGGCCTCTCCCAGGATTTCCATTGATGCCGGTACTGACCTCCCTGCATCTGTGTCAACAACCCCCCAGGAAATTTCCACCAAGGCAATAGTGTTCCTGGAAATCTCTAAACCAACCAATAACACTGCGCCGGACTCTCTGGATCTCCACACTGTGACTGGTGAAGCCATGGCAACTACCTCTCTGGAGCCCACCGATGGGACCAGTGGACTCCCTGTCACCATGACAACTCACTCTCTGGAGCCCACTAGTGGGGCCAGTGGCCCTCCTGTCACCATGGCAACCAGCTCTCTGGACACCTCCAGCAGGACTAGTGGGCCCCTTGTCACCATGGCAACTAGTTCTCCGGACACCTCCAGTGGGACCAGTGGATTCCTTGTCACCATGACAACCAGCTTTGAGGAGACCTCCAACGGGATCACTGGCTCCCCCACCTCTAGGGTAAAAATAGCCCCAGTGACTGCCTCAAAAACCTCCCCAACCTCCTACATAAGAAGTAGATCCCCCTACAGTTCAGAACAGGGGCCAAAGAGCATCATGCTGGTGCCTGTACTTGTGGCCCTGCTGGTGGTCATTGTCTTGGTGGCTCTGCTCCTGCTTAGGTGCAGGCGGCGAAACCAGAGGACAGGGGTCCCAAAACTCACCAGGGTAGGCAAGCGCAATGGGGTAGTAGATACTTGGGCAGGGCCGGCCCCAGTGTCGGATGAGGAGGCCATGACCCCTGCCTCTGTGGCAGTGGCTGGGGATGACAAGAGCTCTGGGGAGCCTGAGATAGAGGGGCCTGGCAGGCGGCCCACACTTATCACTTTCTTCGGCAGACGGAAATCTTGCCAGGGTTCCATTGCTCTGGAGGAGTTAAAGGCTGGGTCAGACCCTGGGGTGAGAGGGGAGGGTGAGCCACTTGTGGGCAGTGAGGAGGAGACTGTTTCTGATGGGTCAGAAGTGGGCGAGGTGGAGGCCTCTGACTGACTGTAAGTAACTAGATGGGAGGTCAGAGTCATTCCCAGCTTTCAACACGTTCATCACTTCCAACCTCATGGCCGTCCAGTATTTGCACCCAGCAGCTCCCTTCTGAATCTTCCTCAGCTTCTTACCCCTGGACTTTTCAGCCAGCACTCACACCCAGCACCTGTATCCAGCACCCAAACCTAGGACTTCACCCAGTATCTGTGCCTAGCCCCAGTGTCTAATACCCATACCCAGCACTCACACCTAGCATCTGCACTCAGCACCCATCCCCAGCTACACGCAACATCTCTTGGTATCTGCATCCAAGACCCACACCCAGCTCCGAGGCTGGGGCCTGTGCCCATTGAGTGCTTGTAGACTGGATGAATAAACCTTCCTCACTGATCCCGGCTTCTCCCATCACCTATTTCTCCAATTTTTTTTTTTTTCTTTTGGTCCTGAAGCCAGTTGCTAAATCTGCACAGTTATAGACTCTCTTGACCCGTGATTTCTCAGAGGATTCTCCAGGGGTGTTAAGGTCTGGGAAGAGGAAATGACAACCCTGCAAACTCCCCAGTAGGATTCCTCTGGAAAGTGCTCTAATTCCATAGATTAGAACAGTCCTACAGGGCCAGCCCATGAATGGCCTGCACCGTGGACCAGGCAGCCCGGGTACTCGGAGCCAGTCTGGGTGTGCCGGTCAGCTGTGCTTGTGGACTCTAGGCTGGCCCAGGGCCCAGGGCTCTGCTCTCTCCCCAACCAGTGGACCAAGGCAGCAGAGGCCTCAGCCACTTCGCCTCCTGAGGGCAGAGATGAGAAGAGTTGCCTGCAGGTGCAGGCCTCAGAAGCCCCCGCTCTGTGTGGGGCCATGTATGCAGGCAGTTTCTGTCCAGGAGGAGAGGATTTGGACGTGACTGTGAAGGGCAGTGGTAGGCATGGCAGCATGGGGGAGGTGGCAGGCAGGGCACAGAGACTGAGATGCCAGCCCGAGAGTGGGAGACGCAGGGACTGCGAGAACACATGCACCCTCATCTTTGCTCAGATGGCGTGGAGGAGGCAGATGATTTAGCTCCGTCTGTAGCACAGGGAAGAGTTCTAGGCTTGCTAGAAATACAGCCTGTGTGACTGAGTGTGACTTTTCGGCTCTTCAGCAGTCTCCCGTCCTTCATGCCTCCCCACTCCGGGGCACACCCAAGAGGCAGGGGGACAGGAGACCCGAGAGTGAGAGGGAGCCCTTGCTGAGGCCCTGGCTGTTGTGTGCTTATTGGGCCTGTTCCCAGACAGCTCCTTCCCTTCTCCAGGGGCAATGCGTGAGAGTGAGGAAATTGAGGCAGGTGACAGAACTGGGGCTTCCCCTGTGGCTCTGGGATGGAGAGGAAGGACAAGACCCAAGTGTGCCCAGTCTCAGAGACCAGTCCAGGCTGGAGTCTGGGGCTTCATGGGCCAGAGAGTTTGGTATTTCCCCAGGGCAAAGAGGAAATTTGCAAAGAGGAAGTTGTTGAGTCAGAGGGTGCAGAGACTGAGAACAGACAGATTGACCTACAAAAAGGGAGGCCTCTGGGAACCCAGTGTGCCAGCCACCCAACCTGGCCTATGGGGGAGGCAGGAGACAGAGAGAGGGCGCAGGCCGGTCAGTTCTTGCCAAGGGTCCTCCAACCATCACAGGCTGTGCCACCTGCACTTGCCTGAGGGGTGAGCGGAGCTGGGATAGAAATCCCCCAGCTAGCCTCGGCTCCCACGTCCGGGCTCGGTTTCCTGCTGCTCATCGGCGCTGTTGGGACTAACTGGAGCCCCAGAACAGCCCAACTGAGTTTCAAAAGTCACTAAGTGATTCTGCCACGATTGTCCTAAATTTGCTGAACCAAGTGCCCCAATTTCAGATTTAGAAAATACTGTCACTGAACTCGGAGGTCATCACCCTCGGACAACATGTGTAGACGGCCCGAGCGACTGAGTGTAACTCTTCAACGCCTTAGCTATCTCCCTTCCTCCACGCCTTCCCTGGGCAAATCCTGAAAGAAATGGGTGTGGGACTGCGTTAGGCACCCAACTGGGCTCTCACACCCCAGAAAATATCAAGGTATGTGAAAAGTGTTAAAATAGAAGCACAGACAAAAAAATTATTTTTTTAAAGATTTATTTATTTATGCATAAAAGAACTGGGGTAGACGCCAGAGGTGCGGGGGGTGAGAGGATTCACCGGAGAGAGAGTGGGGAGCAGAACAGTAGGATCTACTGAAATACACTGCTGAGGGGAGCAGGGGGGGAGACAGGAGAGGTCTGCTGCACCATGTGGGTAGCTCCCTGGCCGGCCAAGGATGGAACTCGGAGACACAAACAAAGTTTTACATGTATACCGACAGGAAAGCCACATGCTGCTCGTGGGGATAAGTTAGGAGATTCTCCCCAGGAGCTAAAGCTTCACAGGTTATTTGTCATTTTCACTGTCATGGTCTTGGTTATGTTATGCCTGGTTTGTATCAGGTGCTCAGTAAATTTTCGTTTGAATGAAAGAATGAGTGAGTGAGATGACTGCTCAGAGACTGCTGGCTGAAGGCAATCACAGGCACTCCGCGGTGAGCGTGCAGAGGTCAAGGCAGTTTCTTTTTGAGAAACACGGAATGCATACCTTTCAATTCTCTAGTGGGAAAAAAAAGAACCAAAAGAACCAGCAGCCATTGTAAGAATAAAAAGTTGGGGGCAGGGAGGAGAGAGAGAAACAATATGAAAATCAAAAATATGGTGATGAGAAATGACCAAACATATCAGTTATGAAAATAATTGTAAATGGTTCATACTTATCAGAGTTGCTAAAAATCCTGTTTTCCAAATACATACTGACTTTGAAAAATGTCCATATAATGTTAAGTGAGAAAAAAGCTAGATACTAATCTGTAAATATGTATGATTCTAGTTTTTTAATAAATTTGCAAAGCATAGACAGAATTGTCTGTGAAGGAAATGTCCCAAATGTTTGCTGTGGTTTTATTTGTAATAGGCGTATGGGTGGTTTTTATTTTGTTTTTATTTATCTGTGTCTTCCAAATTGTATGCAATAAACATTTATCATTTCTACAATTTTTAAAAAAGAGCAAAGTGTGCATGGGGTGAGGGATGGGGCGTCTGGTTTGAAGAGAATTGTGGAAGGTGAGCCTGGACATGTGGGAGCTTCACTGTGAAGGGCTTAAGAGTTTGAATTCAGTTCTCACAACAATGGGGAAATCAGCAAATCTTCAGTTGGTTCTGCCCTCTCCAGGGCCTCAGCAACGGTAAATGCCATAGTTGGGCCATGTGCCCTCCATCCGCTGCCCCCGTCCTCACTCCCTGGGTACCAACTCCAGTGGATTCTTTTTCCACAGCCCCAGGACCATTCCTGCTCTCCAGGCTCCATCACCCACCACCTGGGTCCTACTGAGACTGTCCTTTGGGGTTTCCTAGCCCCAGTCCCTTGTCTGCCCACGATGGGCCCAGTGACTTTTCTAAATAGCCACCCTGTCCAGACGACCCCTGAACCCCCTAAGGCATTCAGGATAGAGTTCCACCTTCCTTGGCATGGAACATAGATCCCTTCAAGTCGCACCCTGCCTCACCTCTGCCCACCCAGCCTGGCTGGCCCTCCTTCATCTCATCAAATCCCTATAGCTCCCTGGATGTGAGGTGTGCTTTTTTGTGCGGGAGATGGGTATAGTTTAAAATGTGGAAGATATTAATTTTGTTCGGATAGCAAAGTATTTTTCCCTCTTATGCAAAACTTAAATTACTAGCACATTTTCTATAGCTCCTTAAGTAACAGGACATACATGCACACACAGAGTGTATTTTAACATCAACTCATTTTAAAGTGCGTGTTTCTATTCTCAAAAAGTGCACAATAAGATGATCATGGTTACAACTAAAGTTTTGTCATCCAAAATGAAAATTTCAAACAGAAGAAGGACTTGGAAGGGAAAGGTCTTGAGAATAATGTGATTCGGTTTTGCAGGAAAAATGCCTCCAAGCATGATTTGCAGAACATTTCATTTCTGAAAGTGGACATTTACACCCAATTTTCTCTGCATCCCCATTTCTGACATTTGACCCCAGGTCAGTGGGCAGAACTGAGAAGGAGGGGCCAGCTGGGGGCTGAAAGCAGAAGTTGCCCCTGTCAATTTCTATATCTCCAGTCCTTGGGCTGAGTGAGGGAATGGGAAACAGACCCTAGAGCTCCAAGCTCAGCAGCTGAGTCATAGTCAGATCAAAGTGGGACTGTTAACAAGACCAGAGAGAAATACAATCAGAAATTTCTAAGATTTCCAAAGCAGTAAGAAAAGCAGACCCCAAATCAAAGTGAAGAACAAACTTTCAAACCCTAAGAGGTGGAGGACGGAGCACAGTGGGTGACGGTGGGGGGGGGGGATGGGCAGAGCCCATAGACAATGGAAACCCAGAGCATCTGGGGGATGATCTACTTGTTCCCGACAATGAACTGCAAAATGAGTACCTGTGTGCCCCGGCCCCCTAGGGAGCTCAGTTCCTGCCTGCCAGTGTGTAGCATCAGGACCCTGGTTCAGGTCCTGGGAGGTGTCAGCCACAGAGAGGGCCACAGACTCACCCCTGCATTTGAGCATGCTCTGCTTGAAGACAGCCCACCCACAATTTGCCCTACACACATTTTGACTCCCTGCCAAACTCCTCCTCAACCGACCAGATTCAGCTCAAATGTCATTGCCTTCGCAAAGCTGCCCTGCTGCCTCCACTTCAACCAGACACAGTGTTTCTTCTCTACCCTTACAGCTTCATATGACAACACAGATGACATTCACAAGTCATCTGAAAGTGCCTCTCACCGCCCTCCAAATCCATGGGTCATCTTTGGGGCTCCAGAGTCCAGGGCCTGGCACGCTGTAGCTATGTGTGTGTTTACTGAATGGAGGGACTCAGTGAATGAACGAGTGATGACTTTATGTAAATGTCTGGCAAGCCCCTATTTGGCCTAGTGCCTGGAAGATGCCCCAGGAGGGTGGCCGCAGGCAGTGCGGCCCAAGATGGGAGCATCATCCAGCCCAACTTCCATATAATGGGAGTCTGGTTTAAGGTGAAAGAAGAGGTCAGGTCTGAAATCTATTTACTCAGAGAATACAATTTTAGAACTAATAGGCTGTTGAGGTGATGGAGGGAAGAATGAAGTTAGATTTTAAGGTTTCTATTTTGGGAGATTGAGGAGATGCTGACGTCATTATGTGGAAATGCAGAGAGACGAACAGCATTTTTTGGGAAAACATAATGAGTTCATTTTTAGACCTGTTGGGATAGGTCTAAAATAGATGGGATATTTTGGAGGTGGCTAGAAATAGGGGTCCAAAGCTGGTAGGGAAGTCAGAGCTGGAGATATAGACTTAAGAGTCATCTGATTTTAGGTAGCAATTTGAATAATGGCATAGATGGATAAATGCGTGCATTTATCTAGATCATTAACTGTGTAGAAAGAGAAGAGAGTTGTGGAGAGAATCAGCATGTCAGGGAGGCTAACTGCTGTAACAAACATCCTCCAGAATCTCAGGGACATAACTTGAGAAGCTTTCTTCCTGCTTCTGTAATAGCTCAATGCTGGCATTTGGAGGGTGACCTCACATAAGATCTTTCAGGGACCCAGACTCTTTCCAGTGTGTGGCTCTGTCATTGCGGGGAGGAGAAAGTGTTAGGGGGGAAAAGGATGTCCCAAAGCTAATTCCATACAGGCTTTGTGGACTCCACCCCCACCCCAGGTCAAAGTCAAAGACACTGGGAACTCCAAATCCCATCACGACTAAAGGGAAGGTGGCTGGGACCTGAGGGTGGGGTTAAGCAGCCAGGTGGATATAAAAGGCAGACACGTGGGCTTTGGAGGATCCCCCATTTTTGGCTCTCCGCCAGCTCGCAGCATCCGGCCAGCTCTGAGAGTGACTTTGGGTTTCCAGGTCGTCGGATCGGGTAGGACGCATTAAAGACTTTATTTCCCTATTTTCTCCCTGAGTTGTACATTTTCCTTATTTCTTTTTCTCTTGTAAATAAACCTTTTATTAACCCTTTTGTGTGTGTCTGTAGTAGAGTATTCATAAGTCCCTTTAAAGCGCGCGGGTGAGGACCCACAGCCAGGAACCCGTTTAATATCGGGGTTGCTCTATAACAAAAGGAGGATCATGGGAAGATTTTTGTGGTCAGGGGAAGTGACATCCCACTTTTGCCACAGAATTCAGTCCCATGATGGTCTCAGTGCCCTGGGGTCTGGGAAATGTCCTTTAGCTGTGTGCTCAGGAAGAGAAACTGTCCCTTCTCACTGATTGAACACCCAAACTTGAGGGCAGGATGTAGGGAGAAGGACTCACCAGAGACAGCAAAGGGACTTAAGAGAAAAATCAGGAGAAAGTGACCTCTGTGGGGAAAGGGCGAGACTAGTTTGGAGTGGGGCTTTCAGAAGCTGGCCTGGACTAGAGGAAGGTGAGTGGGTGCTGAGGTGAGAAACTGGAGGTGCCAGGGAGGCCTCCCTCAGCTTTGTGCCCCTTCCATCCTTACTTGCCTCACTTTAGCTGCAGGCCTGGCTGTGTCGTGTGCTGCAGAGAAAGAAGTGGGAAAAGGCTGGGAAGGGGCCAGTGGACTTGGCCATCAGTGGTCCTGGAGATTTTGGCAAGCAGTTTCGGATGAAGAAATGGAGGCACAGCTGGTCTGAGACAGGAGCTTGCCAAAGCCAGGGTGCAGCTTACTGGTGGCTTCCTGGTTTTCCCATTCCGAAGCCTGGCTCTGATATGCTGTGCTCTTAAAGTACCTTGGGAAGAAGCAAAGGAAGGAAATTTGTTGGGTTTCTACTGTCGTTCATAGGTTCTCACTCAAGTGTCAGTGGCACCCACAGGGAGGTGCTGTTGGAGCGGCCTGGTGCAAAGGGGCTGAACTCAGCTCCCTGACATCAACCAAGTCAGAGGGGACCACGCCTGTGCAGTGCTGCAGTCTGAACTCTGGCCCTGACATCCCTGAGCAAGGGGCTGCTGGGAGGGGGGTGGGGCTGAGCAGCCATATTTTGGGAGCCTTTAACAGGGAGCTGGGCACTTGGGCTCTTGCTTTTTTTTTTTTTTTTTTTTTCCATTGCTTTGGAGCTGCTTTGGAAGGTCACGGGCTGGCAGGTGGTAGACCTTCACCCTCCACCCCCTAGGGTGGAGCCCCAACCTTAGCATCAGCAGGCTTCATCCTGCTGTCCTTGTAGCTGCAACTCCACCTGGCATCCTCCGTGGTAATTGGGTTTCCTCCCTCTCCCTCTCCCCTTGTTGGTTAGACTAAATTGTTGTTTTTCTTTTTGCTAAACCAAAGGCCCTTTTGTTTACATTTGTGGGAGTGAGTGGCCCAACCCAGAACTGGTGAAAGAGGTTCTGACCCAGTGACAGTTTGTAGACTCTGCTGGTAACAGCATTGTACCATTTTATAGCTAAGGACACTGTGGTGCAGGAAAAACGTAAAAAAGCTATTTGAGATAAAGAAGGATGGCATCAGGATGTGCGCACCATCGCAAAGCCTCTCCAGCTCCCTCCAGTGAGCTGCACAGTGGCTTCGGCGAGCTCCCGTCTCAGACCAGCTGTGTCTCCATTTCTTCTTCAGAAACTGCTTGCCAAAGTCCCCAGGACCACTGAAGCCCAAGCCCACTGGCCCCTTCCCAGCCTTCTCCCACTTCTTTCTCTGAAGCACACAGGCAGGCCTGCAGCACACAGCCAGGCCTGCAGCTCAGGGGGGCACATCCTTCCACTCACAGCCTCTGGCGTGTGGAAAGAACAGGTTTTCAGTTCAGGGAGGAGAGGCCTTCTGAGTTACGCAAGGGAGAGCTCCTCCTCTGAGTGTGGAAAGCAGACAGAGGTATGTACGGCCCCAGGGGTCCTGGAGGAGGGCAGGAGGGAGGCCCAGAGCCACTGGGAAAGGCTGACAAGGCAGCTGGCCAGCCCCTCCTCCCGCTGCCTCTGGCAGCCCCACCCTGACCTCCGGGATCTCAGAACCCCAGGTCTAAGAAGTGGACACACCACCCTGCAGCTCCCAGCGGTCATGGACCCTGAAGGTAAAGAAGATGCTGATCTCTCTCCCGTCCCCTGCATCACCAGCCCCTTCTCCCCTAGTCTCAATTTATCCTAGTCCCTTATTTACGCTGAAATCTCAAGTCTCCTCCCAACCCCCATCTCGCTCCAACCTCCTTGAACCCCAAGCACTCTTTCCTGCCTCCCAAAGCCCTCCACTTGCTCTTCTTTCTCCTATGTTGGGTCCCCAATAAGCTTTTGGGAGGAAAGCTCTGAAGTCCCTGGAAAAGCTGGGGTGGCCCGGAGGAGACATTGTATCCTGGGGGCTAAGGAGGTGAGTAGGGGGAGGCTGGAGGGGAATAGCTCTGGACTTTGCCCCTCACCAGCTGCTCCAGAGAGGAATGGAGGCAAAGTCCTATCCTCTGCTGCAGGGTGGGGGCAGGGGGCTGGAGTCCCGTGATTCCTGCCATGAGAGGGGGTTGATGTCTCAGGCTGGTGCCGAATGTCAGGCTCTGGAGTCGAGTGTCCTGTTTGAATCTGGACTGTACCAGAAACAGGCCTTGGGCAAGTCAGCTGGCTTCTTGCATCTGTTTAATGACATCCAGTTCCTGCTCCCCAGACCAGGCTGTGAGCAGCAGAGGGCAACTGGCTTGACACGGGAGACCTGGCCAGTGCCTGCAGCACAGAGGCCCTGCATGGAGCGCTCTGCATTTCACTTTCTCCTCTCTGGACTTCACCTGCCCCAACTCTGACCTCCCTCCCTGGTTTGGGGCTTCTGCTGGCCCCCAACACCCAGCCTTTCTGATTCGGTCGTAGAACCTGCTCTTGGGGAGTCCAGAAATGAGTTAGAGATGAACTCAAAGTCAGAGCCTGGACTCGGGTCCAGTCTGCACCTGCCAGCTGTGTGGCCTGGGCAGCGAGCTTAGCCTCACTGTGCCTGGGTTTGCTCATCGACAAGGCAGGACAGTACCTTCCCTGGGCTGTGGTGAGGAATATGTGAGATGAGGCGCGCAAAGTGCCTGGCACACGGTCACGTGCCGGTGGTCATGCTGGTGGTCTTGTCGATTCTTCACATTCTGAGCCCTCCCGAGGTTCCAGGACCGTTTTGGGGGAAACTCTGTGTCCATCTCTGCCTCTGTGACAACTCCCTGGCGTGTCAGGCTCAGTCTCTCCCTCCACCAGCTCTTCTTACGGATGTGTCCATTTCTTTTTGTGCCTCACCACCTTCCTGGAAACCTCAGGGTCCCCTTCGACTTCTAGCACCCCAATATCCAAACAGTTGCCACATCCTATGGACTTACCTCTGTTGCATCACCTGGGACTCTTCCCACCTCCCCCTGGGAGAGCAGCCCTGTGGGGTCTTTCTTTGCATCACTGCCTTCAGGGTGACAATACCTGATGTTTAACTGACCTAGCTCGTGGGGTTGGTGCTGATGTCACTCACCCCTGGGCATTTAGCCAGGAGGGAGTGGACAAGTCAAGGGGGTGAGGCAAAAGCTGGGAAGGTGGAGCAAAGAAGGGGCGCGGACAGAGTTGGGGCAGAGTAGGTGCCAGGCTGGAGTGCAAAGGCAGCAGTTGGACTCAGGCCAATGCAGGACTGGGCCGAGTCAGGCCAGGCTGGGGGTGCAGGAGGCCAGGCACGTTTCCTCACCTCTTGGAGCGGGCTGGCCTCCCGCTATACTTCTTTCTGCCTCACTGTCTCTTGCTCAGGCTTTTGCAGCAGCCTCCCCACCTGAATCTTTCAAGAATTCTAGGCACAATTAAAATATTTAAACTTTAAGCTGCCTTTTTGGGGATCATATGACTACTGATCTAAAGTCTTAGTTGTTTTCCCAAGGTCTATTGAATAAAACCTTAACACTTTCCTGTCATTCAAGGCCTGCTGGTCTGGCCCCAGCTACAAGTCACCCTCCTTTGCTGCTCTCTAGGCGCCAAAATTGTGCACCTCCACTTGGGTGTGCCCCACGCCTCCTCTCCTTGCCAGGCCTTGCTCTCTGCTCTCCCCCTGGCAAGTCTCCCTGTCATTGTCCAGTGTCCATCTGGCCCAGAGACCTTTGGAGCCCCCTCTTACTGCCCTCATAGTACAGCAACAGCTCATCCCCTCCTGAAGCTCTGTGCATTGTTTTACCTCTCGGCCAGGGCTAGCAAGTCTGGCACTATTTGGAGATCACTTCTGTTATCTAGGGAGAGAAAGGGAAAGAAATACATTTATCTGGAAGTTCTAGCCAGCCTCTGTCTCCACCTGGTGTTTGCCAAATGGATCAACAAATAAAGAGATGGAAGGACAAAGTGCCAGAGACAGACCCTGGGTTGGAAGGCACTCGGGCAGGCACTATCTGTGAATCAGCTCTTCTCTCCTCATCACAGCCTGCGATTTCCTCATGAAATTGATTCTCAGAGGTTAGCAAATGGCCGAGGTCTCCCACCAGGCAGGCGATGGGGCCAGGAGCTGAGCGCAGTCTCCCAACTCCCAATTTGGGCAGTTTCCGACACACCAGGGACAGAGCTGTGACCCTGGGTGTGGCAGCAGAACCCGGTGTTGACAGTAAACATATACTAACTAAAAAATACAATTTTGTGCTGGATTAAATGGCAGTGTGGTTAAGGTGGGGGAAGCGAGCAACAGACCCTGGAACAAGCCTGCTGGTTTATGACCCTGATTCCACACTTCCCCGCTATGTGAACCTAGGCAAGTTACCTGCCCTTCCAGGGCCTCACTTTCCTTATCTGTAAAATGGGGTTAATAATATTACTACCTTGTAGAGGTGATGTGAAAATTAAATGTGTTTTAAAAAAATGAACAATGATGTAAAAAATATATACATAGATTATTAAAAAAAGAAAATTAGGGCCTCCCCAGTGGCGCAGCAGTTGAGCGCTGGGTTGCGAAGCTGCCCGCAGCCTCTGCAATACCGGTTTGATCCCCGGCTGCTGGGTGAGAGTCCCACATGGCGCGCAGACCTCTTATGCCGCCTGCTGCTCCCCTCAGCAGTGTACTTCATCAGTCTGCCTGTTCTGCTCTCCACTCTGGCTCTGGTGAATTCTCTCACCCTCCTGTGCTTCTAACTGTACCCAGTGCTTGTATAAATAAATAAATCAATCTTTAAAAGAAAAGAAAAGAAAATGTGTTAATACTTGGAAGAAGCTGCACCCCACACCCAGAGAGGGGGTAAATGCTTGCAGCAGTGCCTGGGAAAGCCTGTCAAAGGGCTGTAATTATTCTATTTAGGACCTCATTCTATATTCCATTAGACAGCAATGGAGCAGGCCCCAGAGTTTTAAGAAAAACTTAAAAAGGCAAGCTTTTTTAAAAATGTCAATATCAGGGCCTCCCCGGTGGCGCAGCGGTTGAGCGCTGGGTTGCGAAACTGCCCGGCCTCTGTGGTGCAGGTTCGATCCCCGGCTGCTCCCCGGCCACCAGAGGAGGGTCCCACATGGCGCGCAGACCTCTCCTGCCGCCCGCTGCTCCCCTCAGCAGTGTACTTCAGTCCTTCTGCCTGCTCTGCTCCCCGCTCTGGCTCTGGTGAATTCTCTCACCCTCCCGCGCTTCTGACTGTACTCAGTGCATGTATAAACAAAACAAACAAACAAATAAATAAATAAAACATGCCTCTATTAAAAAAAAAATAAATAAAAAAATAAAAATGTCAATATCAGGCCTCCCCGGTGGCGCAGCGGCTGAGCGCTGAGCTGGAAAGCTGCCCTCAGCCTCTAAAGCGTTGGTTCAATCCCCAGCTACTCCCCGGCCACGGGAGGCAGGTCCCACATGGCGCGCAGACCTCCCCTGCCGACCGCTGCTCCCCTCAGCAGTGTACTTCGGTCCTTCTGCCTGCTCTGCTCCCCGCTCTGGCTCTGGTGAATTCTCTCACCCTCCCGCGCTTCTGACTGTACCCAGTGCATGTATAAATAAATAAATAAATCTTTAAAAAAAAAAAACTGTCTTTAAAAAAATAAAAATAAAAATAAATAAAAATGTCAATATCTATATTTTTAAGTTAATTTTCCCCTGTAAATTGGGGAAAACCATCACTCCTTGGCCAGGGCTAATGTCAGTCACATTTAAAACCGCTGTTGCTACAAACGTAAGCTGTATCATTGCTCATAAAATGAAGAACAAAGACAACTTATGTTATTTTAGGTGCATCCCCAGAGCCGCCTTTGTGCCCATCAAACGCACAAACAACTTAGATGATTGAAGGGAAGAGGAAGGACAGAGTGCTGATTCTGGTGTCATGCCTCCCGGCACGAACAAACCCCTGTCTAGTTAGGATGACGTAGAAACAAATAGCAAAAATCAGTCAAGGCAGAGTAGAGCCATAAATAAGTGCCGGTGGGGAAGTCTTCATTTTTCTGTCAAAGGCATCAGTTTATCAGTGTCTCTCTACATTATTTGTAAAGAGAGAGGAGTAGGAAATATCCCCAGATGCTTTGGTTTCCTTCAAAGACAATTTTAACAAAACTCTGGAGAAAGAATTAAGAAGGCATTGCCTTAAGAGGTCAGATTACAGCCCACAGGATAAAATGCAAATCTCTGAAGGGCAGGCGTGCTGAGGGCGCTTGACTCAGAACAAGGCAAGGAGGGCACGGGCAGCACAGCTGTCCCCTCTGTGTAGCAGCTTCGTGGAAAACTCCTCCTGCAGCTGCAAAAACAGCACCCCCCACCCCCTGAAGTTCCTTTCAGGAACAGCTGCTAATTAGGAGAGCCTGTATTTTCAAAGCTCCCAGCAGGAATCCCTTTTGTTGGAAATGCTTGAGAGAGTCAGGCCTGAAGAAAACCAGACACACTTGATTACTTCTCAGGAACAACGATCCGTGTAATATTATGCCCCTACAAAGGCAGCGGGAACAACTGACCTCCAAGGAGGCAGGAGAGTGGCCCCCAGGGCGGAGGCAGGGGGGAGGGGCTAGTAAGAGCACCCTCGTGGAGAAGGGAGACCAGGGCCCACCTTGGTAGTTTTCTAGCTCTGCTCTTCAGGTAACTTCCCTTAACGCTTCTGAGGCTTCGTTCTCCATCTGTACATACAAATGACACGTTGGAGATTTG